TGATTTTGAAGGGATACGTTGCTCTGAAGTAATTGATTTATTTGCATCTGTTGCTGCTCCACCAATTGTTGCATTTGAGTTGAATCCATCGTTGCAAAGATGGTCTGTTGGGTCCGGAACAAAAATGTTATGTCCCACCTTCTAAAATAAACAGTTAAGGCTGAAAGCAGCAGTCCTTGTAAAGAAAGGCAGCAAACAGGAAAATGTTATGTCCCACCTTTTAAAGTAAACAGATAAGGCTGAAAGCAACAGTCCTTGTAAAGAAAGGCAGCAAACAGGAATTTTCACAGATAGCTCCAATAAGTAAAAGTTCCAACGAACTAAATCCAAGACTCAACAAGATTCTTCAGATCAAAATCCTTCACAAAATAATTCCAATAAGTAGAAGTTCCAACGAATTAAATCCAAATCCCAACAAGATATTTCAGATCAAAATCCTCCAAACTGTGCTCTTCAGTTCTCCTTGCAAATAGACACTTTGTTCCGGACAAAGTGCAAAGTCATATCTCTCCCTTTATAGAGTAACTAATTAGTCTAATTGCTGGTCTGCTCTCCTACTGTATCCTCGTTGGTTCCTCCTTGTCAGGAGACGTCTTGTCCTGACATCTACCCAGCAATCATCCAAATTATCATCTTCTTCACCTGAAGATATCATTGGTTCCTCATTATCACCCGTTCCCGGCTGACCACCTAATTGAAGGGTGGAGGAGTTTGAAGGTTCAAGCCGATCTTGCAAATCAAATGCATTCATCTCCTCCTCATCGTTAGAACTTGCTGATTCATATAAGTCCTCCTCGCTGGAGCTGTCATTCAAAAAACCTGTAGCAGATGCCGGAATCACAACATATATATATATATATGAATATGAATATGAATATGAACTGTATATAAAATGTGTTATTATGAACCCTTTTTTTCTTCGAGGATTAAAATAAGGGAATGGAAATTAATTTTAAAAATATGATTATTAATGATTATAAGTAAAGTGAAGATAAAATAAGAGATATTAAGAAGTTATTTTAGTGATTTTGGAGGGGATATATACAGTTGATTATTAAATGGATATTAGAATTGTACAACGAGAATATTTTATTCTGATTAAAGTAGGGGAATGGAAAATACCATGTGGATCCTAAATATATTGTTTTTATTATATTTTTACTCTTTAGATTCTTTATTATATATCGGCTTAGAGAAAATTAGGGACAATAATGATGTGTAATGTAAAATAAAATAGGAGGTAAGCTGAAAATGGAAATAATAGGGGATAAAGAATTGAAAACTTATGTATGGATGAAATGATATTGATATAGAATTAATGAACTGAAATATGAATTGCAAATTTATTTAAAGATGAGTGAAATGGATAATATGAGTTAATATTTTATAAGATTAATGGAAATGAAAATATGACTATGTACAAGTGTTATAATCTGGAAACGTTGCTCACGTGAAAAGATGTATGAAATGTAAAAAATAAAAAAATATTTTACAAAAAAACCCAGCTGCAGTGGTCTTTTTATGATTGCGTGTTCACTTAACAGCTGGTTATAACTTCAAAGACTACCTGCACTTTATTGGGTCTGTTATGCTAAGCAACGAGTCATAATTGAGAACTTCCTGTGTGTTCAGGATCCAAATTACTCCTCAGGTACTTTCCCCAAAACTCTGCCTTCTAATATCCTATAACTGACCATGAGAAATCGGTGGTCTTGAAGCGGTAGTTCCCTTAGACTGGTGATGTTGAACTCTTGCGTTTCCTGATAAGAAACCTGAGGTGCAAGCAAATCCTGGAAGACTGTGTTTCCAGAGCATCCAGATATTTACAACTTTTAGAAAATTTCGTTTGTCCTTGCCATAACCACGTTCCTGAAATGTTTCAGAATGCTAGAAAGGCCTTGAATGGGGCTCCTGCATTGTGCAACCCTAATGTTCTCTTTGCAGGAGTATAAGATGAAGAATAGATGTAATGGCACAAACGTCATGGCTGGATATTTTGTGGGCTACCGCTACAGAGTCCTGGCAGACCAATTTCATAGTGTCTACATGGTAATTTGTGCCATGCAAGTATCTGTTTGTCCCAAATGCCTGTTTTTGATTGTAGTTGCTCCTTCAATGCAAACTTCACTTAAATGAATTGACGGCAAGATTGAGGAGGGATTAAGAATGGCAGGATTTATTGATTTATTGTTTTAATGTACTTGTGATGACCCAGGATGGGATACAAAACAAACCTAGTCACCAAAAAAAAACCCCTTTTATTCCTTCACTTTGCTTTCAAGTTCCGAATATTCTTGACAGAAGACAAAAGCTCCCACACAAACAGTTACAACAAGAAGGAAAAAGCAACCCAAACCAGGCAAGATAAGGCTGGAGGACGTCCACAGATAACACACACTGGGAAGGACACCAAACTCAGAGAGGAACCATAAACTAGAGATATTTCCATGCTTTGTTTCCAGCGTTCACCTGTATACATGTCTGTACTCTTACTCAGTTGTCATAGCTGCAGCCCATGAAGAGGATCAAAGCCCTCTCCTCCCAAGTAGACCACATCTCTCCCTTATCCTCTCCTCCCTGCGTGCCCTAGGATGGAGAGGGGATGGGCCTGGGTCCTCCTTTGACTGCCCAGCCGGCCTCTGCCCTTCCCCAGCCTCCTCCACAACCTCCGGAGCCATACTTCCACTCCCTGTTGGCTGTTCCTCCTGTCCCTCAGAGTCAGTCTCCACCAGAGGCATGACAGTACTTCTTGTACAAAATGTGCTGGGATTAGAAATGAAGAGCTGGAAGGAGGCTGTAGGATAGTGTTGACTTTGTATAAAATAAAATGATCAAGAAGCAAATGATTCCTTGATACATGACCCTGATGTTAGAAATAATTGTGCTTGCTGCTTTCCGCTTTCTAGGTAGAAATTAAGAGGGGGGAAAAGATAACCAATATGTCCTTACATAGACTCTGCTCCACATTTTTGTATTCTAGTTGCATGATTTTAATCCAGTATAACAGCTTGGATAATTTTAATCAAATACAAGTTCTCTTGGTCTTCTTTCTTCACCATCTCTGACTCCATCTCCTTTTTCCTCCTTTGTGTCTTTTATCTTTTATCTGTGGTTGTTTGGCAGTTGGTCTGCAGCTTGCTGGGAGCATGGCCATTTCACTGACAGGCACCGTCAGAAGGAGTGGCCACTGAACTCTTGAAGTTGCTTGGACTGGAGAGTGAGTAACACGAGTCTCTTTGTGCTTGTGAATGCTAGGATTGATGAAAGTTCTATTATTCTTCAGTTAGACTTCATTTAATCTGCTCCAAACATTCATCTCTTTCTTCTTTTCTTGAAGATGATTATCAATATCATAATAAATGTATAGTGACAAAAGCTGAATAATGTATTTCCTTCCATTTTTGTTTTTATTTGCTTCTGTAAGTTATTAATTAGTTTATTTTCTACAAAGCAAATTACTGTAATCCATAACATAAAGGTTTTATCTTCCAAATGAAACCTGTGGGTGTTGGTTGACAATCAGAAATTTCAGTTTTTTACATTTAGCTTGATTATTCTGATTAAGAGAGGCAACAGTCAGTGAGAAATAATATTCCACATTATTTTTGCCTTTAAAATTTAAAATATTAATAAGTTGTTCTCTTGGATACATTGACTACCCTATGTAGGATTCAGAAAGGAGGAAAATAGGTATGATCGGTTGAATAAATCTAAAAAATTCCTCAGATCACCAATAGTAGTATATTATATTGTCTTCCTTTTACAGAACATGTTACAAGTTTTCTGCTTCTTGCTTTCCTGTAAGCATTTTGTATATTTGCGATGGTTTATATCCTTTGCTTAAGCCATTTAACGGTTTATTAATTATGCAAACTTATTGCTGGAATTTATTAGTTATATGCATACATAATTGTATTAAATTAGAGTAGAACCAGTCTCTCAGATTATGTAGCAAGATGCCTTGGATAAACTGTGAAATAGAAGAGTTTAGAGAGGAGATAGTTGAAAGTTTTTGATTGATCTGATGATGTCAGCAGACGAATAAAAGGGGAGGTTAATTGAATCTTGACTAAAAGAAAATATGCACAAGTATGCTTGTTTGCCTCTTGCAACAGCACTGAAGTGAAACTCAGTATAATAGTTTATGGAAAGTAATAATTAGTTATCCTTCACATTTATTAATGAGATCATTGTATGTAAGGGTAAAAAGGTAAACATTTTTCATCTCTTTCCTTAGTTTTTACTGCAGGGGGTGAGGCTCCATATGCTCAGCTGATTTGAAAATCTTTGCACCTTATCTGAGCAATCCAATGGTGGGATACAATAAATATGTAAAGATTCTTACGTGATGGAGAGTAGTGGGTTTTCACCCAATACCTTTGATTATTTACAAAGTATACTTGGAAATGTTGAGAAAAAATAAAAATTATTTATTTATAAAATTTATATAGCTGTCTACTTGCTCACAGCAACTCTAGGCGGCTTACAAGCAATAAAAAACAATATAGAAAAAAAAAGGCCCAAAAAGCCAATGACCCATCCTCCCGGCGAAGTACACAATTAAACAAGCTATTGATGAACTCCCTCACACACTGGGTTCCCCAGGCCTTCCGGCAAAACCAAGTCTTCAGTGCCTTCCAAAAGACTGTCAAAGTGAAGTCAGAAAATGTATATGCAGAAAATGCACATGATACACAAAAATAAAATATACAAAACATTATCCTTTCTTGTTCTACGTTAGTCTTTCCCAACTTGGAATCCTCCAAATCTGTCTGGAACTATGCTGGGTGGAAATTTTGGGAATGCAGTCCAAATGCACCTTTCAGACAAATATCTTTATACTAGTTACTTTGATGATAGGAATTGGTTAGGTACTTCTTTAATTATTAGGAAAATACTGTAAAATGTCTGTAAAAGTTTGGAAAACTGAAAACTACTTTTATATACTTGTGCTAATGGCCTTCTACAATCTATTCAACATGTTAAGTTTCTACCATCAGGATACAAACAATATTTCTTTGTAAACATGCATAGAATTAAAGAAGAACCATCAGCTGTCGTCTGTCCTGTGATTGATGTAATTGATTGGAACACCTTTGAATTCTTGGGAAATGCTGGAGAGCCACAGATTGGTGGGTTTGACTGGAGGCTGGTCTTTACTTGGCACATAGTGCCAGAGCGGGAGCAGCAACATCGAAGATCCAAGACTGATGTTATCAGGTTAGATTGATTTTGAGTTCCATCTGAAATTATATTTTGATAAACCTGTTGAGATGAATAATGATCAAATACAATACTGTTATACTAGATTATTATACTGGCAATTTTATTTTAAAAATAAGATCTGTAATCTGTCCTTCACACATTTTATTTTTTTGCACAAGTTGGCTTAGTTGCTACAGTACTACCGTACTATGATTAGTTTGTGTGACCAGCGGTAATAATTGAAACTATCAGTGTGGATTTCAGTAATAGCATCTGAGTGAATAATAATAATAATCATTGTGGAAAAAGAAAAAGTTCATTTGAAAAAGAAAATAATACCAGTAGTAATAGGCACTGGATGAAATCCCCAACATCTGGAGTGCCACTTGAAGACCATTGGCATTGATAAGATTGCCATCAGTCAATTGCAGAAAGCAGCTTTACTTGGAACAGCTTACATCCTGTAACACTTCTTTAAACACCATCAAACAATGACATTTGCAGATCCCAAGTCCTTGGAAAGAACTTGATAGGTAGATAAAATCCAGTCTAAACATCTGGCTGACTGTGCGACAAACCAGAATAATACAGCTTTTTAATTAAAGAGAAAAATTCTGCAATTATTAATGAGGAAATTAATTAAACTTTTTTTTTACCATATCTGGTTCTACAGACTGGTTTCCTCTGCCTCGTTCTTTTTGGAATTTCTACAAAAATCCTTTCCTTTACAATCTTATTCCTCTTCCCATTTGACACAAATATAGAATCTATGAAGAACACTTTGTAGACCAGAACACTTTCTCATGGGAAACAAATTTACAAAGATTCTTTACCCTGCCTCATGTTTCTTGTATAGTTCTCTGCCTTGTTTTGCTTTGGTGAGAGCATTATTTGTATTTTGATCACATTGCTTTCCACTGGTCTCCTGATGCTAAGAGTGACTTCAGCAACTTTTCCCTCAGGACTTGATCTTTCAGTTTCTGCATTTCTTTCTTTCAAATCTGATCTGTTCTGTTCCTGCTCTAAGTCCCTCAGCTCCTGTTCTGTTCTATTCACTGTTCTCAACTGACGAAATGTTCAGTCATCAGACCCAGGAGTATAATTCACCTCTGACACACCTATTGCGTTCATGCCACAGTCTACAAAGATACCAATGCCCATAAGATCTTAGATTTTAGAGAAACCATCCTATTCGCTAAATATTTTCAGTCCTCTGATGTTGTGTTTCCAGGTGATTGCAACTATTTAGCTAGGATTGCTTAATCACAAGACTATATTTCTCATGACAATTGGTATATGCGTTCAACATTGTAAAGTACCCATCAGCTAAAGTGGGTTCCTTAGCAAACTTGGAGAAATCTGAAAAGAAACAATTCAAAATGTTCCAAGAGACTCTGCCTTAATGAATTCACCAATAAATGAGAGTTGGAAATTCCTCTTTCAGTTTTTAAGATTCTTTATTTTCTCACAATTCTAGCATGTGAGGCGCCTTACCTTATCTGTAGAGTTGTTGGTTCCTTTATCTTTTATTTTTAGGCTTCGACAACTTAGAACTATGCCACCTTCGGTCTGACCTAAGGGTAGTAACATAAAATTATCTATTGCAATGCCCTACCCGTCAATGACTACTTCAGCTTCAACCACAACAATACACGAGCACAGAATTAGATACAAACTTAAGGTAAACTGCACCAAACTCGATTGCAGGAAATACGACTTCAGCAACAGATTGATCAATGCCTGGAAATACACTACCTGACTCTGTGGTTTCTTCCCCAAACCTCCAAAACTTTAACCTTGGACTGTCTACTGTTGACCTCACTCCACTCCTAAGAGGTCTGTAAGGGGTGTGCATAAGTGCACCAGCGTGCCTACAGTCCCTGTCCAAATGTTCCCTTTTATTCATATTCATTTCATGTATTAATAATAATGTTTATACTTACATCTGTTATCTAACACATGCTTGACAAAATAAATAAATAAAATAAAAATCTGATGCAACTTTATATGCCTTGACAAAAAGCAAAAGGATAAATTTGTAACCCTAGGTAGAATGTTTACTAAAAATGGGAGTATAAATGGAGAAATCTTAAGATATGTAATATAGTATGTAGCTATAAAGGTAGTCAGTAGCATGTAGTCTGTTGTGAAGAAAAGATGTTTGTCAAAATCACTGAGTAGAAAAATGTGCTTCTATGCCACTTACTTTGTGGAAGTCAGAATTGACAAAACAGTATATAATCTCTGTGTTAAATTAATAGCTATCTTTTTTGTCCTATGGCCTACTTTGGTCTTTATGCTAAAAATGTTTGAGCTACATGTAAGAAGGAAGTTCTCTATCACAGTGGTAACCCGGGTCTGGGAATCCCTTCCTACAATATTTATCCTGTCACTTCTCTTCCCTGTTTCTGGGATCCCTGGATAGAGTTTTTTTTGCAGGCAGGTGGCTGTTCTTGAGTTTGGAGTAAGCCAGTGGTGGGATTCAACTGGTGTTACTACTGGTTCGGTGACTACATTTTGTGTGCGCATGTGTGCACATGTACGAAAATCTTTAGCTATGCCGCCCGGACAGCTGAAAAGCACTGCACACAGGTGCGCAGTGTTTGGAAAGCCTCTTTTTTCCTGCTTTTTCATCCTCAGCCGTGCCATGCAAAGCCGCTGAGGTTGAAAAAGCATGAAATAAAGGAGCCCGGGCAGGTGGGTGGGCCAAACAGCAGTAAACACAGAACCGGTTCGGTGTCTGCTGCTCTTCAGAGCTACCGGTTTGTAGAGCTGGGCAGAACCGGTAGCATCCCACCCCTAGAGTAAGCATTGACTTCATCTGGCATCTAAATAGTATATAGAACAATAGATTATTCTACTTTTCTCTTTTGCAAGGGGATAGGTATCCAGCAATTCTTTGTGTGCTGCTAATATAAACCAACACTGTAGTAATAAAGGATTTTTATTTGGTTAAATGCAACACAATAAGATTACATATTATTGTGAGTAGACAGACAAAGAATGAAAGAGACAGAGGATGGAAGCAAAAATAAAACTGACATATAAAAATAAAGAAAGTGTACTGATGCGATTGTATTGTACTTTCTCTGCCAATTTTGTCTTACAAGATACAATCCTGTCAGAGCTTTGCAGAATTGGGTGTAAATATCTTTAAAAATTTCTTCTAGAATTTTTTACAAGGGAGTGAAGCCACTGTGCAGAGGAAGCTGAATCCCAGTTCCAATCCACAGTTTCCTGCTAATCAGCAGAAAAACTTTATTATTTAATTTCAGTTTATTCACCCCAGTATAGTTGGTAATTGAATGTATACAGCATTCAATGGAATTGAATAAAAGCTCTATGCTCTCTTCAGTCAGCTAGAGTTATGAGACTTAGATCAATTATCGGAAAAAAATAACTGTTTGACATGATTGGTTGGAATTCTTTCTTTTAAGCCAATTCCTGAGGGTAGTAGCTACGTTTTACTCTTTTTGTATTGTTGCGTAACAGAATTCCCCCTGAGGTTTAGAGTTAAATTGAACAAAAATAGTTTACAGAGGCAGTTAGAAGGTTTGCAAAGGTATGTTGGGGCACTTATCTATGAACAGATCTACTAATGATTAAACAGCCTAACTTTTCAGTTTATATGGTAAGTTAGTTAACAAATGTCTGTCAGGTTTTTTTCAGACATTTCTGAAAACAAAAAGGGAAAGGTAGCCTTGCTCCAAACATGGAATTTCATATAAGTATATAGAGATAGTAGGAGTTGTTGCGAATTTAAGTATTAAAAGTTGTTAAAATTGATCAAATTATCCTTCCAATCAAACATTGGTAACTCATTGTAAAATAATTTGTAAAATAATTTTTTTTAATTGTATTTCCTTGTTGGGATGATGAATAATAGTACACAATTTTTGCACCTGAACATTGTTCTGTTAATAATTGCTTACTGCTGATAAGATCACATTTAATTTTGTCCTTCTTTAGTTCACCTTATTTGAATGTATAGGGTTTTTTTTTCTGTGGCATCAGTACAGCTTATAGCAAATAATGTATTATCTTTCATGCTTTAGAAATATAGTTTACTTATGAAATAGGTCAATAACATGAAAAGGAATTAAGGATATATTATAGACAATAAAATATAATTTTAAGTCTAAAACTAAGATATCATTTCCTACAACTGCTATGTTTGATTTAATAGAACTAGTTAAATATAAGTAGAAGTGTTACTCAAAATGTGTGGTTTCTAGGTGCAAAATAAATGAGTCAAAACCAAAATGTATTAGGATTGACTTCTTATAGATTAGAGATGGGCCATGGTATGTGGCCCCAGATTTATTTTTGTGGTACCTACAAGCTCCCAGAAGTTCACAGTATTATGGTTTCTTTGTTCAAATTTCATAAAATACAATAAACAAGAATAGAACTCCATCCAGAGCCTACCTGTCAGCCCACTCAGGCAAGAAGCACAACAATGACTACTAAAGCTATCTTTATTGTAAGGTTATATCATCAGAATCTTGCAAGCTTGAAAGTATTCCTTGCACATTTTCCTTTTACTTGCCAGAAAACTAAAAAGTATTTCTTCTAAAACATTTCCCAGGCTCTCTTTTTCTGTGGACTGAGATACCCTTTACAGTTGTTTAGTATTCAACTCTTCTTCCTGTCTCCCAAGGTCATTCCTTCCTACTATTACACCTAAGCAAAACAAAAGCCAAAAATTGAAGTTTGTCTTCTACATTGCCCTTTCACTTCCATGCCATTTTCAGAACTTTGAGGTTCCTCAAAAATAGAGAAAACAAAATTGTAGCCCTTGACTGAGAGACGTCTTTGATCCTATTTTTTTTAAAATGTCTATAATCAGAAATTATTTGTAAAACAATAAATGGATAATTCTGCAAGGTATCTTACATCTCACAATATTAGAGCTTGAAGATAAATGCACTTCTGTAATTAAGTAGGAATACGTAAAAAAATAATCTTAGAAATGACAAAATTGTCAGTTTTTGAGCTGTATTTTACAGATTAGT